ACTCTTGCCCCCTGAGCCTGTGAGCCCTAGTTACCTGCTGTAGTTCTCTTACGTAGGAAGCCTGTGAAATGGCTGTTCCGTTCCTCTCATGCCTGGCCCTGCACTGATCAGGCCCCGATTCTGTCTCCTTCCACATCTGGTGACAGACACACTGGGCCAGCTGTCCTTGCCCTGGGTTTTCTTCTGCAGGTGACCTGGGTCTTTTCCCTTTGTCCTAGATCGTTGGCATCATCACGCGGCACAACCTGACGTCCGAGTTCCTGCAGGCCCGCCTGCGGCAGCACTACCAGACCCTCTGATAGCCTGCCTTGCTGCCACCGCCAGCCCCCCGCTCACACTCTGGCTGCTGCAGCCGGCTGGGGCTGTTCTAGGGCACGGGGTTCCCGGCCACCCACCTGCTCAGAACCGGGTCTCGTGGAACGCTTTGCTGGTCAGAGGTCCTGGGGATGACATTGAACCGTCAGAGTGTGGACTTTCCCAACTTCCTCAGCAAGTACCTTCCTTTTTCCTGCTCCCTGTGTTCCTGCCCATGTTGGCACAGGCCTGCCTCGGCCCCAAGAGATCCAGGACTGGAGGGGGAAGTCAGGTTGGATCCCCAGGGGACGCGTGGAGCAGTTTCTTGCCCCACATTGCTTTCCTGGACAGCCCAGCTGCTGCCTTAGTCCTCTGGGAAGAGCGTGGGTCGAGGCGCCCCCGGGGGATGCCATTTGCAAAATCAGGTTCATTACTAAGTTTAGGAATCGGGCACCCGGAAGATTCCCCGTGTTCAGGGGCCACTTTGTTGGGTCTCTTCACTCGATCCTCCTCCCTTGGGACTGTTCACTTGATGTCTTCTGGTTCATCTAAGGGAACCTGTGTGCTCCTCGGGAATGCGCAGGTACTCTGCTCTCTCCTTAGAACCTGCCCTCTGGGAACACTGCAGCTGGAGATGAAGAGTCCAGTCACAGGGTCAGATTGACCCCACCCTGTCTCTCCATTTGCAGATTGCTCCAGGTCTTCCAGGCCACATTTGTCCCCTAACAGTCACCTATCCTTTCATCTCCACCATTTATTAGATTTTCTAAGTTTTTTTTCTCCATCTCCCTGATGAGAGGGCCCCATCTCAGTCTTGACTCACCTTCAAAGTTAATCAAAACCAGAGCCCCCCAGACTAACCCTCTTCCTGGAGCCCCGGGGAGTAGGTTATTCCTGGAGCTGGCAAGAAGTCCACCTGAGAGGGCAGTCCCTCAGAGGCTCCTGTAGGGGGAAGCAGGGGCTGCTTGCAGGAGGAGGTGTCTCCCCTTCACGGTCATCTCACTCTCCTGCTGCCAACCTCGCCATCCTCCTGAGGGGCTCAGGGACAGGGGCTCAGCAGGGTCTGCTGTGCTGCAGGGGTGGGGCAGGGGAGGTGCTTCCCACCTGCAGGTGCCTGAAGGCTTTAGTGGTGACCAGAGGAAGCACCCTGCCTGCTCTTCCAGGACCCAGAGTGAAGATCTGGGTGGGACGTTGGCACCCATCTTTCTCCAACTTCTACATGTCTTTTGGCATCTTGGTCCCATCAGGTGTCCCTCTAGCAGCTGTTCTTTGGGACTCGAGATGGCGTTCATTTGCATTTAGTGTTTTTTAAACCATGAAATTGCCCCATGGCATCGGTGCCCTGGGCCTGGCTTCTTGCAGCCTGGGCATGGTGTCACTCCCGGCTTGGCCGGCCTCATGCCCCGTCCATTCTAGAGAATCATTCTATGTGTGCAGGTGGGCTTCAGGGCCTTTTCCAACTGACCAAGGCCTGTGGCCCTCCAGTCGCCCATTTGTTTATCCTTTTGACCGAAATGATGTTGACTTCTCTGTTTGCAGCATCTCTGGACGCAGGCTTGTGCATTGGGGTGACGCTCCCAGTGACTAGTTCAGGAGCTCAGAGCACTTTTCAGGGGGTGCGTTCATCTGGTTTCAGCTTTGTACTGTGCTGCTCAGAGCTTGACCCTGTTTTTTCCTTTTACTGAGAACTGGTTTTATTAAGCCAGTTGCCCAAGGCAGGAGAACCAAGTCACCGCCTGTCAGAGGACCCTCACCCCCTCGCCCCGCCCAGTGTGGGGACCCTAGGCCTCAAGGGCTGAGCCGCCAGCCATCTGCCTCACTGAGGCTGTCTGGATGCCACTGTTGGACTTCATCCCTTGAGCACATCGAGTTGTTCTGTTGATAAGTTTAACCCAGAAATAGATAGTAGAGTGCAGACGCCTCCCTCGCCCTGAGGCAGTCACTGGCCACCGAGGAGGCCCCCAGCCCAGGCCCCCTAAAGGTGTGTGGATTCCTGGACTCCTCCTGTCTGCACCTGCCCCTCTCAGAAAAGCCCAAAGATGACAACTTCTCCACTTGTGACCAGACATCGGAAGCCTTGCTCCTTGGATTTCTGTGCAGTAGAAACCAGCGCCCACAGAGTCTCACTTGTTAACAGCCCTGCAGCCGCCTCGCCCAGAGCTGGCACCTGGATAAGGCATCTGCAGGGGGGAATCAGGTCACCAGAGGGGCTCTTCTTTGCTCCACCTCTGGCCTGGTGTTTGGGGCTCCCTAGCTGAGGCAGTGGGGTGACAGGTCTCCAGTCCTGGCGGAATTTTGCCCTTTGGGGGATCTCTGCTCACGCACGACCTCGTTTGCCCTGATGGGAATGGAATCTTGCTTGCCCAGACAACCACGTGACAGTTCTGATGCAGGATTGTGTGCTGACTGGGCCCCTGGTAACAAGGAGGCTTCAGGAAAGGCCACTTGGCCCTCAGTATTGACATGCAGTGCCGCCCTCAGCCCTGCTGACCTTGGGCGTCCCTCCTCCGCAGCCGCCTCCTTTCTGTTTGCACTGTTTGTTTACAAGGTAACGTGAGCTAATTCCACTGTGTATATAAATCGTATTTTTTTTAATTTGTAAAATTCTATTTTTATTTGAATTTTTGGAACTTGGAAGTTCTCATGGTAACTGTAACATGTCAGAGTAAAACGTCTGCCTGTCTCCGGTAGCCTGACTCCCGCTCTCTTTCTTTCGAGGGTGCTGGCTTTTAGCTGTTCCCTCTCTTTCTGAAAGGCAAGTGTTCGGGTGCTGGGAGGTGTCTCAGCCTCAGCTCCTGTGGCTGCCCGGCCGCCTCTTCACCCCCATGGTGGGCTCAGCTGGATCAGGCCACCCACTGCCTCTGTAAGCACCTAGGTCCTGCATTCGTCACCAGGTCACCTCTGGTCCTTCTCTCACAGGAACACCAGTCCACCCCAGGTGCTCATCTTTTCCTGCCAGTGTTGTGTTTAGGGACTTGCCACAGAAGGACTCCTCAGAACTCTGCCCAGAAGAACCAAGCCAGCTCAGCATCTGTGGATGTCACCACCCCGGGTGGCATCTGGCACTGCCATCTGTCACTACTCTTGGTTCACTTGCTTTTTGTTTTGCAAGAACTGTCTCCACGTCCTGCCCCAAGCCGCCCTGCCACCAGTGACAGCCCAGTCTGGCGCCTGCACCCACCCCTCACCCCTGCCTTCTCCAAGTTCAGGGACTTTCTGCTTGTGTGTTTGCCATTTTGGGTCAGTTCCAGTCAGCCAGTGCTCCCTCGCCAGGTGACACCTCTGGAGGGTGCCCGACTGCCTCCCTTTCCCTCCTAGCAACCCGACTCCTGGTGCCCGGCCTCAGAGCCAGGCGTGGAGTGATACTGTGCCGCTCTATGCTTGTCCTCCTGAGTCACTCTGTGCTGCTTGGTTCTCTGCCCTCCTGTAGTTGAAGGCCAAATAAGGAGCATCTGGGACATGATTCGAGCTCTTCCCTCACCCCCGCCTCTTACCACCGTTCACTCTGGGCCTCCTCTTCCCTCTGGCAGGGGCACATTTACTTGGTTTCCTCTTCCCAGTTTGTACCAGACCAAGACAACGTGGCCAGCAGTCACGAGTGTCCAAGATTCGAGGACTGCAGAGTGTTCCCCCTCCTGGCACTCACAGTCACACGCCAAACCCCGGCATAATAGTCACAAAAGGTTTTCTGTAAAAAGACTTGGGGCTACTGGGCACATGGTGTCAGGGAAGAAGTGGCATCTCAACGAGCCTCGGGGTGAGGAGCATGTCTTTGGGGGGCCCAGGTAACAGGCCTTGGCTGGAGGGAGCAGCAGAAATAAGGCCTCAAGGGGCGGGTGTGTGGGTAAGGGGCTCGCTGGAGTACCAGAACCTGCAGAGAAGGGCTGGTGGCTGGGGCGACAGGTAGGGGGCCGGTGGAATATCGCGCCCTGGTTAAGGTGGAGTTTCCTGCTTAGGATAAGACCCTTTCCAGATGTAGACACAACAACACTGCCTCCTCCCCAGCAGCTTGCATGGTGCCATCCACAAGTCCAGGCCCCTTGGGCCTGAAGAGAAAAGACTATGCTCTGGTAGGTAGTTCACAAAAGGCACGGGGAACTCACTGCCCCTGGTGGCCCCTCATGGCCCCTGGTGGCCCTGGTGGCCCCTCGCGGCCCCTCGGCACAGCAAACCTTTCTTCACTTTGCTCAGCCGTTGAACCCAGTGCACAGCCAGCTCTGAACCAAGCTAGAAGTGTGATTGGCTTGGCTGCTGCAGTGAACTCTCTTAAATGAATCAGATAAAACGTAGCTAATAGCCTCATTTTCTAAATGTGCCCTAAACAAAACAAATACTGTAACCCATAAGCAGTAGGGATGCAAGTGTTGTCTGTTGAGTGCAGCTGCGGTAGCTGTAACCAGGAGATGAAATGGAGAGGTATGTGAGTTTTATTTTCAATCAACAATGCCCTGAATGTGAGCAAGTCTGGAGAAGAGTAAAGGAAGTGCCCTTTCAGTCTCAGGGCCTTTCCGGGTTCTGGGGCTGAGGCTGTTGAGGAGGTGGAGCAGGTTGGAGGCTGCAATTTGAGGTCCCCACCTCCCACCAAAAATAAAGGGGGGCGGTGAAAGAGGAAGAAAGAAACAGCATTCTCAGACAACGGCCTACTGGGCTCCATTGTTCTCCCTTGGAAACTGGGAAAGAAAAAAAAACTACACCGGGGGCTCGGCTTCTGTCCGAGGTGCTGAAGTTTATTGGTTTTGCAAGGCTTTCAGTAGTAGGTGGGGTTGACAGTGACGCATGGGGTGGGAGCGGCAGAGGAGCCACAGCTAAGCCACTTGATCTACATTTAGCATCAGATGTGAGAAATGTTGACAGGAAGTTGAAGCTCCAACAGTGTGCTCATCCCGACTCAGTGGCAATGCGATGAGACCAAACTTGGTGAGACCCCGGGTCGAGGGTCTCCTGCAGTCTGCCCGGCCAGGCTGTTATCTTCCGTACTACAAAGAGAAAGACATTCGGCTTGGCGATCTGGCTCTACTGGAGAGTCAGCATCAAAGGACAGTGTCAAACCTTTTACTTGACCTTCGGGCAGCTACTCCCCCGCCCCCGTGCCCCCTCCAGCTTAGTGATCTCTGAGTTCCATTGAGCTCAGAGGAGCAATCCTTGTCAATGTCACCTAGCTCCCGCAGGATCTTGCAGTTCTGGGAAGAACACGAATTGCTAATTAGCAGAGCAAAGGGGACTTGACCCTGTATTTTAATTGTTCAATGCTGTGGTAGTAACTTTTTTTTTTTAAGCATTTTTTCCAGCAGGCTACAGCTGAGTGTGATGACATTGTTCTGAGACTTGTGGGGCACCCCCCAAGTCAGGGTAGAAACTCAGAAGGAGTTATCTTCTACACTGGTCCCCTTCCTGTAGGAGTCCCCTGCTGGTACTGCTATGGCAATGCGACCCCATCTTCTTCCCATCCTGTTCCCAACTCCAGATCCTCTTACCCGGAAGCTGTTACAGCCCAGGCCACTGTGGGCTCCAATCCTGTCCATCCTTCCCCCGAAACAGCTGGATCTCGGCAGGCTCCGAGGGGCCGTCGGCTTGTTTCTCAAGAGGGCAGAGCGATCAGCAGAGTCCCAGGGGTCCCGCCCGGGGCCAGCCCCATCTCCCTGGTCTGGGCTGACCTCCCCGGTCCAGGAAGTCTCATCAGGGAGAGCTGGCCCTGCTTCGTCATTCTGCTCGCCTAGGACTCGTGAGGGAACCTCATTTTCTAAAGGCATCTTCTCCTCCAAACGGTCTAGCAAATTCTTCACAAAAGGAAAATACAGGGGGAAGGGAGGGGTCTCGTTGACTTGGAGAGAATCGAAAAGAACCAGCCCAGCACTGCAAAACCCCCTGGTGCCAGGCTGTACCTCCTTCCTGGCCCTACCTTGAAATCCGCCAGGTCTGCGCTGGACACGGCGCTGTACACGGGCTTGGCTCCTGCTTGGCCTGGAAGCTGGAACATCAGGAAGAGGAGGAGGCTCACGGCGACGGCGGAGAAGGAGCCCATGCCGGCGGCGGTCGAGGGACGGTGGGGTGTTTGCTGCCTCTTCTCCCTCCTCTCTGGCTCCCCTTCCTTGGCCTGCATCCGTCACTGTCTCCGCTGCCCAGCGCCTCCCGTTTTTATAGCCCCTGCCGTCTGAGCATGCAGCAGGGCCAGAACCTCCCCATTCTGTCACTTGCAGCGATAAAGCGGCAGAGTGAGGAGCCCGCCGAAGATGCCCTTTTAAAGTTATCAGCCAGCAGCGCTGTCACAGCCCCTGCGCCTCGAGCGGCTCCCGCAGCCCCCCAGATCCTCCGCTGCACGAGCCACATTCTTGCTGATTTGCCTCAAGAGGCCCCCACTTCAAAGGTGTGAGAAGAGCAAAAAAGAGTCCTTGGTTATCTCCCCGCCGCGCCCCGGGATTCTTTCTCCTCAGCAACGGGGACCCACGCGGGAAGCAGAGGGTGGCCGCTGGCCCGGGGCCCAACTGCCCCTGTCTGCTGGTGGCTCAGTGTCAGGGGCTCCAAATAAGGGTGGGAGAGGAGGGGATGGCAGGCGGCCAGGGGCTGGGGCCCAGGAAGTGCAGGCGGGCGCTCGGCTGCCTTCACACCTGATTCATCGGCTGGGGGCGGACCTCTGGCTGCAGACCGCTGCCCTCACCCCTGGGCGTCCTTCTCAGCCGTCAGGTGAAAGGGAGTCATTTTTTAGAGTATTGAGTCAGCTGGGAACAAATGCGATGAAGGTTCCAAGAATTCCGCTGGCAGAGGAGTGGGGGGACGCACTCCTCTCCAGAGCTGCTCCTCCTTCACGTCCCCCGGCCCCCCCCAGGTGTGCAGGGGACAGGCCTGGAGGAGGCGCCTCTTCATCTCCCCACCTTGCTGCTTGTAGACTGCTGGGAGCTTGCGGCGGCCCCGTCCTCTCCAGTGCCGGGGTCCTGCCCTAGCGGGTCCAGGGAGTCCTGAAGGATGAGTGGCATCGGCGAAAAGATGGGACAGGATCGTTCCATTGGAGCAATCTCCAGAGAGAGAGGCTCTAATGCAGCTTTGTCTGGGTCATCTTTTATTACAATTTTTCTCATCATTATAGATTCAGAAAACGTCATTGATTTAAAACTTTGCCAAGACATGACATTTCCTTAACCATGATTGGGGGTACAAAAAAATGTAACATTAATTTACATTTTTCCAGGATATGACCTTTAGTTATTTAATTATTAAAAGTACAGAATCAGGGGCTGGGGATGTGGCTCAGTGGTAGAGCACTTGCCTAGCACGTGTGAGACCCTGGGTTCGATCCTCACCACCACATAAAAATAAAGTATTGTGTCCAACCACAACTAAAAAATAAAATATTTTAAAAAAATAAAAATAAAAAATAGAAGTACAGAATCATTAATAAAATACGTCACTAATTTACATTTTTCAGATTTTCCCAAGATTTACTATTTTCCCCAAGATATGCTATTTTCTTATTAACTAATGCCAAACTACCAGACTCTAAGTCTCCTAACCAATCATTAACCTTTAAGTTTAAAGTACACTTGTACTTTATTTCTAATCTAAAATTCCCATCTAAAAAACTCCCCTTAAATCTTATACTTAAAACATCCTAAAGTTTATAAATCATTCTTAAAACATATCAGAAACCCATACAACTAAAAACTTAAGAATTTCTAAACTTAAGAATCTAAATAAAATAATATTTCTAACATTATTCTAAAACTGTGTCTTATAAAGCTATTTTAATTAATTCCTAAATTTATTCTCATAAAACTGGTTGAGCTGATTTCTCAAAGAGTTTCTTTGATTCTCAGTCAAGGTGCACTAGTTCTCATATCTTTATAATCTTTATCAATAGAAAGTAAGTTCTAAACATCAATCCACTTTCCACCAATATTAATTATGCTCATCATATATCCCTATGTAAAGTAAAAAAGGGTTTATAAAAAGATAAGAATATATCTTTATATGTTTTAACTTTCCTAAGTGTATAATATAACTTTCCTTAATCAAAAATGAGACTACATGGGGTGAACTTTGTAAAATAAGCATAATGATTAGGTTTTCTAAGAGGCCTGAAATACGGGCTTGGGTTCTAGTTGATATAATCAATGTGGTGCCTAAAATTCTCATGACCTTTCAGAGGATGATTGTTGTCCATTATCAGATTTGTCCTCATTGTACTGAGATAGAAGAACAGCCTTCTACTTTGTCCTTGATGTGCTGAGGGGTAGTAGAACAGCGTTCAAGGCATGAACTACCTGTTATGTTCTAGCCATTTGAAATTTAATTTGTTTGGCATTTAACGTGCTCATGCCTCCTGTCAGGAACATAAGCATGAAAATGAAAAGTCCCAGTTACATAAAAAAAGGGTCTCATGGTTTCGGTTTCCCACCAACCAGCGTGGCTTTGCCAGCATTCATCCTCACTGTGACCCTGTCAAGACAGTGGGAGAGCGGCTTGGCCAGCACTTTTTCTCACTGTGACCCTGCAAGACAGTGAGTGGGGGATCGCCTTCACCACTCCAGGAGAGCAGCCAGGGCGAGTTGGCAAGTGGCCTACGCTGTTCCCCTTCAAGCCGTTCCTCTCGGAGGCCAGGCAAGTGACTACGCCACAGAGGCCTCAATTCCCTGAATCCCACAGGAGAAAGGACTGGCAGTGAGGCTCCAGAGAGTGGCCTCCAGTTGCTGAACACCACACTGGACCTGCTCAACAGGGCGTGCATGGCAGAGGGAGGTGAATTTGAAGGGTTGAAAGACCTGTATCTTGGCCTCCAACAAACCAGTCCCCTACATCTTTGGGGCCTTATTTTTTTTTTCATCTGTGAAGTAGAAAAAAATGTAAAAGCCACCCCCACCCACCTCTCAGAGCAGTGTTGGAGCTCAGAGGAGCTGCTCTGGAACAGTGGGGTGATCGTGATGGTCACCCTTATTGGTCACTCAGGATGTGCTAGGCCCTGTGTTGACGGCCATATGTGACCATCTCATTTCAACCCCTAGGAGGTGGGTGCTAGGGTCCCATTTTCAGAGAGACAAATCCCAGGGTGGAAGCCCAGGGGTGACACTGCTCACATTCTCAAGCCATTTCGCGCACACTGCTGCCTCTCTGCCCTAGGGGTGAACTCCCCAACGAGACACCTCTCTGGTGCCATGAGCAGCTCCCACCTTTCCCTGCCCTGCGGCTGTAGCTGTGCACTTGGTGGCTCTCCCCTCTCTGACCATCACAGGGAAAGGGCCACTTCTGATCTCCATGACCTGTGTCTGCTCCCACTGTGATTTAGACCGCTGGGAGGCTCAGGATATCCTGGCCAGGTCCATCCCAGCTGTGCTGACCCCTTGGTTGTCCGGATGGAGAAGCTGTTAGATAGCCACAAGACAGCAAATCAGGGCAGCAAATGGCCAAAGGTCACAAGAGGAGCCTGAGGTGATTGTATTCTAAGATGGAAGGAAATGGGGACCCTCTTCAGCCATCTTGAGGGTTTGAGCATCTTGAAATCTGAAATTGGTGCAAGTAGAAGATCTGAGCCAAAAATCCATCCTGATGAGTCTCTGGAATGTACTCACTGCTTAATTACTCGGCTGCAGGGTTATTAATAGCAAAAGGGATTCAGCATACAGCCACACTGGGGACCGGCTCCTTGCTGCACGTACCACACAGCGCATTTCCTGGAGATGGTCTTTGAGACAGGCCTTTGATGCAGGCAGAGTCTTCCAGAAAGGCATTATGGCAGTAGCTTGACCTCAGAGGGACAAGGCTGCCCCTTTCCTGAGCCAGGTCTGAGGTTCACAGGTGGCCCCAGGAGAGCAGAAGTCCCCCTCCAAGCTTTTGGAAAGAGAATTTCAGAATTTGCCCATCTCCTTTTATCAAAATCCATTTTCTTCTTCCAGAGTGAAACTGGAGTGGGACGTGAGTGCCATTTGTCGAGTTTCTTTTATGATCTTATTTTACTAGGGAGGGGAAGGCTTTGTGTAGAACCAGAGTCACCTCCTACATCAACAGAGCCAGGTCGGACCCAGACAGCCTTCAACAGCATCCCCCCAAATCCTAATAAAGCCCTGATTTGAATCGAAATGGCTTAATGTTAAGTTCCTAATGTTAAGTCATATCCCTGCTCAACTTCGGGGAGCCTTGTGCAGACACAATACTTAGTGGACTATGGAGAAGCCACCTGTAGGAGTGAGAAGAAGAAGAGCCACAGGAAACAGGAAGCCGGGCCCACTGCCACCCCACCGCCCCTCCAGCTGGACAATCAGCCAGGCCTTCCTTTTCCTCTGGAAAGAGCTCATCTTGGTCATAGGGTGGAAGGAATGTGGCCAATAGGTGCAGAATCCATAATTTGGGTCTCTCTAGTTTCTGGTCTGGAGTTTGGTTTCACGACTCTCCCTGGGGGTGCTGTGGGCTGCTGCAGGGATCTTTGAAGTCCCAGCAACGCCACACATGTACAGACCTGGCAGAAGAACCCATCACATTGGTAGCATGATTCTATCAGACCCCAGTGGTCTAAGGCAGAAACCTCACTTGGGAGAAGCCAGTTGGAATCTACAGGATCTAGGAATGGCTGTTTCTGACTTTGAAATCAACATACTGTTTCTTTGGTACAATATGGAGGACCCCAGGGGCTGAAAGATAGGGACCTGATTCCCTGGAAAACAAAGCCCAAGGCAAAATTTCACTTGCTAAGGCTTTGTGGGGGTGCCAACCCCACGGAAATGAGAGTGAGGGGGAAAGGGAAGTGAGGGAATGTGTTAGTTAACCATTGTTGCAGTAACAAGCAGCCCCCAACCCTGGCAGCCTTCAGCAACGCACCTACTAGCTGACCATTGATCGCTATGGATCAGGGTGAGAACCAGCTGGGCTGGTGTCTCCAGCTCAGGGCTCTCATGGGCCGCAGTGAAGATGTTGCTGGGTCTGTGGTCATGGCAAGGCCTGCCTGGGGAGGATCTGCTGTCAGAGAAGCAATGGGCTTCCGTCAGGTGGGAGAGGAGGGAGGAGAGAAGGGGAGCTCTGGAAGCCTCACCACGGAGGTGAGTTGCTAGGCTCTGCTCATAGGCCAAGGGGGAGGGTTACACAAGGGCCGGAGAACCAGCGGGGGGGGGGGGGGGTCCTTGGGGACCATCTGAGGCTGCCCACACAGGTAGGGAAGGAAGAGAGGAAATGAAAGGTGACATGTGACCCAGCCGGCCACAGTGGGTGGTCACACTGGACCC